AACTGAATCAGATTCTGGAAGGGCATTCTACCAGTCCGGGCCAGAGCCAAGAAGGCTCTGGCCTGAGCTGAGGCTAGATGAATACTTTTTGGGCCGGGAACCACGAAAAGATTATTATTCATAGAGCACAGTGCTCTCGGGGGTACCAGGAGAGATGGAGAGACGGTCCCAAAGACATGTTGGTCCTAGACCATGTAGGGCTTTGAAGGTTAAAACCAAAACCTTAAATCTGATCCCCTATTCAACTTGGAGCCAGTGCAGCTGACAGAGCACTGTTTGTATGTGGGCTCTAGATGGAGTGCTGGTAAGCACACATACCACCACATTCTGGACCAGTTGGAGTTTCCGGGTCAGTCTCAAGGGTAGCTCTGTGTAGAGCTAGTTATAGTAGTCTAGTCCGGAGGTCACTGTTGCTTGGATCACTGTGGCTAAGTTGGGGCGAGACAGGAAGGGAACCAGTTGCTGGACCTGGCACAGATGGAAAAATGCCAGTCTGGCAACATATATAATCTAAGCCTCCATTGAAAGGAAGGCATCCAGAAATACTCCTAAGCTCTTCACAAGTGGCCTTGGTGTTAATGGCGCACTGACAAAGGCTAGAAGTTGGCAGCCTGGGGTCTCCTTGGCTCAGCCACAGAGCCTCCATCTTTGATGGAGTTAGTTTCAGCCAGCTCTGCTTCAACCAATCAACCAACCACAGGCTCTAGGCCCCTGGCCAGATTGTCTGGGGCCACAACAATAGAAATCACACTTTTCTGATGATTTCAATGAAGAATGTACTAAATTGGCAAAACAATTTGAAAATCAGGGTTATCCCCAAAGGATTATACACAGTGCTATAAATCGAGCTCAACAGATAAACAAGATATGGACTTATTAAAAATGTATAAATACCCCTATGACCTGTGCCTTTGGCTGATGCCGTAAAAACACCGGCACATGGTCAGTGATATTCCAGGTTGTGGGAACAAATCTTTTATAGGTTTGCGGAAGACTAAAAGTTTGAGAAATATACTTATCAGATCAGATATGTCTCCAATTAGAGATAAGAGCGCAAGGTCATCATAAATGTGGATCCTGTTCCACATACCCACCACATGCATGTTCCACATGCCCACCAGAACAAAAAACTTTGTATTCCTGAAATTGGTTTTGAAAAGGATCTATCATATTTTACTAGTTGTGCTACCAAACGGGTAATATATTTATTGAAATGCTCTTGCCAACTTTTGTATATAGGTTCATCTACACATTCAGTTTGGGCACACATCATTGAGCACAGGTCTCGTATCAGAAATCAAATTATAGAAGCACCTCTTGTACATTTCCTGGAAATGAAACATAAACCTCATGATTTTAAGTTTCTTGTCCTGGGCAAGTATGAGTCTCATCCGTATGACAAATCCAATATTCACAAAATACTGTTTTGTAATGAAGCTTTCTGGATTCACAGACTCAGAACTTATACTCCATATGGTCTCAACCAGAATCTAGAGCTCTCATTGTCTGCGATATGAGACTATGTTCCTTTAAAACCAGATGGAACAAGCAATACAATGGTAATACACAGCTGTAGAGCATCATAGGGTTGGAGTTAAATACTTTCTTTAGCATGTCAAAAGGACAGAAACTTTACCAATGATGTAGAACTCTTGAAGATTAAGTCAAGATAGAATGTGTCGATTGGTGCCCGTTTGTTAAAATTTTGAATATTCTGATTGGTGAGTTAATTTGGAGAATGTATTTTTAATGCTCTTCTTGTTTATGCAATGATTTTGCTATTTGTTATTCAGACTACAATAGCCTATGGTCTTCTTACAGAATTCCTTTACTACAAAAGGCACTTTCAACACTGGAAAAACGGTTCAATGTTTGCCTTTTGGAAATTTTCTGATTGATGCCTGATTATATAGAACTGTGGAAGTTGCCATAAGGGATTTGGTAAGCCAGCTGGATAAGCAGTATTTAATGATATTTAAAGGTATTAAACAAGGCTGAGTATATATTTGAAAAATAGTCTATGCCTTTTTGTGTGTATACTCTAGATTCTCAGTACTTACCTGAGGAAGATCTCATTCTTGAAATGAGTGACCTATCTTGAAACCATGTCAATTGTTCTTATTCTTCAAAAGATTTGGACTATTCTTATTATGTGGATGTTTGAATGTACTTTTATAAATGACATTTGTACTAGCATATGGCTTTGAGAAAATTGAAGTGACATTTATCTTGTAGTAACTGTTTATGAACTTGATATATATTTGAATACATATAAATAGAACACTTACAACAAAAATATATACAATTGTATCTATTTTGTTAAGTAATTTATTAACTGTATTTAGCATTCTTGCTCACAGTGATTTCCTCTTTCAGATTGTCTGGGGCCACATTCAACCGGCCATCCATCAACAGATACAGCTGGGTGTCATCAGCATACTGGTGGCATCCCAGCCCAAACCTCCGTATCAGCTGGGCGAGGGGGTGCATACAGATATTAAATAACATTGGGGAGAGGAATGCCCCCTGTGGGACTCCGCACACCAAAGGCTGTCTCATTGAGACCCTCTCCCCAAATGTCGCCCTCTGTTCCTGACCATGGAGAAATTAGACAAACCATTTCAAGGCTGTCCTATGAATCCCCACGTTGGCGAGGTGGTGGGTCATTAGGTCATAATAAACCATGTCAAATGCTGCTGTGAGATCAAGCAAAAACAGCAGTGCTGACCCACCTCGATCCTGGTGTCTAAGGAGGACATCTTTGAGGGCGACCAATGCTGTCTCTGTCCCATTGCCAAGGCGAAAGCCAGATTGGAAGGGATCAAGGACCGAGGTGTTATCCAGGAATACCTAGACCTGTTCAGCTGCTGCTCTCTCAACTACTTTGCCAGGAACAAAAGATTTAAAACTGGGCAATAGCTGGATGGATTTCTATAGTAAAATTTTGATAGTAAACAGATTGACTGTAAGAAACAACAGTGGCACAAACTGGGAGAATTCCCTTCAAAAGCCGCAGAGAAATTGATCTAAGTCATAAATCAGAATCTAAGACATAGCTCCAAGTCAGAACTAGGTTTCCAACAGAAGAAGAGGCCTCCCAGAGACTGTGTTGTATAGTGATTTGAGCATCAAAGAAAGACATGAGAGACTCAGGCTCAAAATGGCAAGGTGACTGAAAACTGTATTTGTGGTCCTGTTATTTGTGGAGGAAGGGTGGGATAAAAGTGCATACTCCAATGGATTATAACCATGACTAAGGTCCAGTGGATTACAACCATGAAGTGGGGTCAGGGATAGAGCAGCTGCTTTACATGCAGAATGTCCCAGGTTTAATCCTTGCCATTTCCAGTTGTAATGATCAGATATTAGGTGATGAGAAAGACCTCTGACTGAGATTCTGGACAGCTGCTGTCAGTCAGGGTAGGCTACACTAACTTTAACAGACCAACAATCTGACTCAATAGAAGGCAGCTTCATGTTCTCATCTGTACATGAAGTCCACCATCTCTGATTATCTCCACATCTCTGATTATCTCCACATCTCACCCTAATCAGAGCAGAAAGGTGGGGTATACATTTTGTTAATAAAATAAATAAATATTAAAATTTTGGTTTGCACTCCCAGATGATCTTATGGAGAAGTCTTTCTCTTCCTCCAACTTTTTGGCTGAAAACAACGACATGTGCTTAAAGAAAGAAAGTCATAACAATTTAGTCCTCTTTCCTGAGCCTTGTTCTGTTGCCCAAGGATAAAAAAATCTTTTGACATACAAGTCATGCGATTTGTCTCATAAAGTGGCACTGAATGCTTTGGCGATTCCAAATTTCTTTACATCACTGAACATGCATCTTATACCTTCTGGGGTGATATTTTTCACTTAAAGACTTGTGACAAAAGGGTTTTGCTACCTAAAGGTATTATCTGTTCCACAACATCACTGAAGAAGAACTAGTATGACACATTTGTCATCTTGTCCACCCCAGAGTTATTCTTTCAGCACCTTAGCTCCCCAACAGGCCTTTACAGCTTTTAAAACATCAAAAATGCTCTCAAGGGACTCTTGTCAATGTTCTAGACAGTGGTAGCAGTAGCATATCACATATGCAAAGACTCTTCACTGTCTTGATCATGTGAATCATGAATCCAGCACAAGAAACTTTGCTAGCTTATTTTGGTCATTTTCAATGACAAAGTTCTATAACTATTTTTTTAGAAAGTAAAAATCTCTCTGCTTTGCTAAAAAGAGTAATCTCCAAAAGGCTTTTCTATATGCTTCCAAGTTAAGTGAGATGCTTGCTTATTATTCTGCAGTACATCTACATGACTGGAATGAGACCACAAACTATGTTTGCTCAGTACAGCATTTCACTTCTACGCTACAGCTTCCTTTCAGGAAAACCGTTCCTATTGTGTAAAAGTGCTTAAAATGTACATTTTTAGCAACTGGTTTATTACAAAGGATTCCACCCATTTCAGATAACCTAGAATTCATACATAGTTATGTTTTCCCCCAATTTCAAGATCACTTGACAATCCCAGTATATGGAAACAGATATATTTGTGCATTTAATCAGTTAAAAGTTAGTGAAATAAACACTTTTGCAAATAGTAGCTGGAGAAAGACAAGGGCACAGTACAACAGCCTCACAGTGGAGAATCAATATCTCCTAGCATTTTCCCAAGAGAGCTTAAAAACCCACATTGTTGTAGCTATGTGAAAGAGAGAAGGCTTTACAGATCAAGTTACCAGCCTGATCTGATGTTTTTAATAGACAATAAATCTGGCTACAGCCATTGCTAAGTCTCAGTCGCAATCGTTAAAGCCAGAGAGTTTTTAAAGAAAAAACCTGCACAAGGAGTTATAAATATTTATTACCATTCCACAAATCTTTTAAAGCAGACATATAACTAGTTGACACTTAATTACCAAGCAGAGTTTCAGTGTTGCTTCATATCATGTTGGATTATGCATAGATTAAAATGATCTGCATTGCCTTACCTGGTACATTCCAACTCCAATGTGTTTGGGCTCAATTTTCACTAGCTCAGCTAATGGGTCTTGTACACGTCTAGCTATGGAAACTGGGGGGGGGGGAGAGAAACAGAGAAAAAATGGTGTTCTGTGAAATGCAGGACTAATGTAAGTACTTCTACTATGCTTTTTCTAGAGTTGCTTGTTTTCATTTTGTCTTTTGTTGCATGAAAAACAATGCCCCGATTAAGAGCTGGAGAATAATCTATTACATATGCAAGTAATGTAAACTCATCAATGCACTTTGAAATAATAGTTGATCTCTTTGTTGTCAGCCTTGTAAACGGAAAAAATATAACAACTGCGTACTTTTAAAAAAATTAAGCAATAGCTTCAGAGAACAAGACGCTACAGTAGCCATGTATTGATAGACTCTGTTAGATCACTTCTGAAATCAGCTTTAATTAGATTAGGCCAATTGTGTGAACAGCTGTAATCTTATATTTCATACTGCATTTTGTACTAAAGTCCATGCAATGCTTTCTAAAAATGACCTTGCAATGTTAAAAAGATACAATTAGAACACAAAAGGCTTTTAATTGAATTAATTAATGCAATGTTGTACATTGATTAATATTAGCTAAATTAATTAAAAATATGAATTGTTTTTTCTCTTCCCTAGTCTGTGAAACCATCCACTGTTGATTTTTATAATAAGCACTGTGCATACATATCTTGTACAAAACCAATTTTCATTAGAGTTGAAACAATTATTGCAGTAGATAGCTTCAAAATTAAAAGTTTTATAATATACTCGATAATCATTATTATATCTGGTTTTAACCTGTGTATATACATTACACACAACACACACACACTATGTGAACAGTACTGTTCAACAGATGAACACTGCTATTAGCTTCAACAATTTTTGTGCTCAACAGTGTACACATGGTCAAATACAGAAAAGCTTCTATCTACATTCCAATTGTTTTCCTAGACCTGGATATTTTATATTTACACACACACCACAAACACCTCACCGTAAGTTCTCAAGTATCTGCACTTTGATACAATATATAGCACATACCATTTCAGGGCAGCAAAATATTCACCTCTTCTAAAGGCAAATATTTCAAAATCATTACTTTAGCAAGCAGGAGTCACTACTTGGTGACTGCCATTTTCTAACGGCACACCATCCTCCTCACTGTTTCAAAGAGCAAACTAGCTGCCCTCCTGTGCAGCTGAGAAACAAAGCAAAAGTAGGCCACTCACAGACAAGGTATGGACCTCCACATACTTTTGGGACTCCTTAGGTATGCAGAAGAATATGACTTTGGAAATTAATCAAAAGGGGGGGAATGCCCCAAAGAGAACAAAATACACTTCAGAATGCACAAAATATGTGAGCAGCCAGTTAAAAGAAAGGGGTGGGGTGAGAGGAGAAATCAGCTTGTTCCAAAGCCATGAGAGCTCAGTAAATCCTGCACAACTCTCACATGACTTTAGCTTTTCAAATCTCTATTTCATAACCAGTTTCCATGTATTACATTTTTATCTTGATTTCCCTCCATATAGCTCAAGATGTCACACATGGTTTCCTTTCCCTGACTTAAAAGACGTAAGGATTAAGCGATTTTGAATCATAGTTAAACACAAGTCTGGGCACAAACTGTTTATCAATAGATGAAGAAATATCTAATTAGTTAACAGAAAATATTGAGGAAATGAAAGGGAAAGACATTAATTAAATTGAATTGAGGATCACATTGCACAGGAAGAAATTTCTGTATGCAAGTCTCCTTTGAGTAGTATGTTTCATACATAGATTTTGAAATGTGTTTATCCCATATGTACACATAAAGCACTTAGGGACAAATATTTTATTTTCTTCAGTGGTAATAAACCTAAAGTTTAAAAAACGTTTTAAGCATAGCAGTTTTGTTCCTGTATTGAATTGAATTAAATCAAATTAAAACAGCATATCAACAGTTGAAATGTCACCTAAGAGATCCAACAGTGTCCTTGGATCATATACCTTGCTGTTGCATACAAATGCGGATATTCAGGGCATGTCTGAAAACAGCTTTGTCAAGGTTCTGGTACACTGATGCGGTTAATCTGGTCCATACCACAGTATACACACAGAAAGCTGGAGATGCTCAAGCACCTGCTGGTTAGGCTCATCTCACTCACCTGATATGAGAAGGCACATGATTGCTCATAGGGATTACTTTCTGTACACATTGTTTGCTTTTGCCTGAATTTGACATAAAAAGGTAAAGTTTTCCCTTTCTTAAAAGCCAGTTGAATCCTACTTTAGGGGGCAGTGCTCATCTCTGTTTCCAAGCCGAAGAGCCAGCGCTGTCCGAAGACTTCTCCGTGGTCATATATCAGCGTTAATTACTGCCAATCAGTACATTGAGGCCCAGTCAGAACCAAGTCCAAGATCATGGAGGATAAGTCTATCACTGGCTACTAGCGATGGTGACTGAAGGGAACCTCCATGTTCAGAGGTGTAAACCTCTGAATACCAGTGCCAGGAGCCAACATGAGGGCAAAGCCTTAACCTCTATTCTCTGTTGTTGGCCCTCTGGAGGAACTGGTTGGCCAGTGTGTGAGACATGATGCTGGACTAGATGGACCACTGGTCTGATACAACAAAGTTCTTCTCATATTCTTACACTACCCCTCTGGTTGGCTCAGTGACCAACTTGTTCCTGTCCACAGTGATTTTTAATGTCTAGGAACCTTGTTTCTACAGCATTAGTCCAGCACACATTTGTTATTTCTTTATTTCTTTAATTCATATCCTGCCCTCCCCGCCGAAGCAGGTTCAGGGTGGCTCAATAAAATTCCATTAAACAGATAAAACAGAGAATTAAATAAAATATAAATATAAAAAATATAAAAAACCCTACATAAAGTGCTAGTGCATCTCATATGGCAATGGCGAGGGATCAGTAGCATGGAGATACAGTCAGCAGGCAACTCAGTCTGGATCATATTGATGTATACAGGCTGTCAATGGCAGCATTCGTGTTGGTTAAGTGTGGCTCACTAATTAACCTTTTTGGGGCCTGGTGGAAGAGCGCCGTCTTGCAGGCCCTGCGGAACTGTAAAAGGTCACTGAAGCCATCCTGGCTGCTCAGGGGCCCAGGAGGGCCAAACAATTTTGGGACCCTGATCGTAGTGCTCTCTGGGGAACATGTGAGTAAAGGTTGTCCCTCAAGTATATAGACCCCTGACCATAAAGGGCTTTAAAGGTGAGATCCAGCACCTTGAATCGAATTCCGTATGGTATAGGCAGCCAGTACAGTGCTTTTAGCACAGGCTGGATGTGCTTCCACATGGGAAGACCCAACAGCAGCCTGGCCGCCGCATTCTGCACCAGCTGCAGCTTCCGGATTTGAGACAAGGGCAGCCCCATGTAGGGAGCATTACAGTAATCCAATCTCGAGGTGACCATCGCGTGGATCACTGTTTCCAAGTCATTGCGTTCAAGGAAGGGAACCAACTGCCTAATCAGCCGTAGATGATAAAAGGCTGACTTCGCAGTGGCTGCTACCATTAAAGGTTGGGAGTGGGATCCCTACCCTTGGGCTACTCCGACTAACGCACAGGACCTCCATCTTCGTCGGATTCAATTTCAGTCAGATCAGTCTAAGACAACCAGCCACAGCTTACAACGCCAGGTCCAGATCTTCCGGATTAGAGTCAGACTGGCCACCCAACAACAGATAGAGCTGGGTGTCATCCACGTATTGGTGACATCCCAGCCCATGCCCCTCAGGCAGAGGTCATTTCGGGGGGGATCGCGGGGGATCGCAGTTCCCCCAGGTGAGGTACAGGGGGCGGGGCACATGATGAAGCCCCACCCCTGCTTTCGGCCACCCCACTTCCGGCCCTCATTCAGCCAGGAGGAGGCAGGAGAAGAGGGAGGGTAAGTTGCTTCCTCCCTTCCTCTCCCCACCCCTGCCTGCCTGGGGCCAGGGAGAGCCTTCGCGGGGCTTCCTTGCACTCCCGCCAGCCTTGCAGGTCCACCGCCGGGCCCCTCATGAGGCTCAGCAGTGGAGCTGCAAGGCCGGCGGCAGCAGCCGGGACCATTGGGGGTGGGGTGTGTGGCCTTATGACACACTTCCGGTGATGTCAGGGTGTGTGGCATATGCTAATGAGTTATGCTAATGAGTTCCCCTAGCTCTTTTTCTACGAAACGACCCCTGCCCTCAGCAATCTGGGCAAGGGAGCGCATGTAGATGTTAAATAACATCAGGGAAAGTACTGCTCCTTGAGGCACTCCGCAGATTAGCAGGTGCCTTTGAGACAGCTGTTCCCCTAATGCCACCCTTTGTCCCTGACCCTGAAGGAATGAGGTAAGCCACTGCAAGGCAGACACCTGGATCCCAGTGTCGGTGAGGCGGTGGATCAGCAGTTGGTGGTTGACCATGTCGAACACCGCCAACAGGTCCAACAACAGCAACACTGCCAAACCGCCCCGATCCAGATGCCTCTGAAGGTCATCCGTGAGGGCAACCAGTGCCATCTCCGTCCCATGGCCTGGTTGGAAACTGGACTGGAAGGGATCTAATGTGGAGGTGTCAACCAAAAAACCCAGCAATCAGTCAATGTAAGGATAGTTGAAGTAACATAGTATCACATTTTCTGTTTTAGTCACTTCCCTTATTTACTTCTCCATCTCAGCCTCAAGGGTATGATCAGGTGGGTGATAGTACACACCCCCCCTTTTAAGTAAAACTTAGGGCCTACTATGTCCACCCATGATTCTGTCAGGGAATCACCCCTCCTTGTCCTGTCTATAGAGCTTATGCTCTAAATTCTTCACAGGGTAGAGAGCCCTTGCCCAGCATTATATACATTATATTTGCACTATGCATTATGTCGATTATGCTATACTTATTCAGATTTCTGTAATTATAGTACATTGCTTATTAGATGTCTCTTCATATTGATTTCATCGACTTACTGTGTAATCCACTAAGTCTCAGTCAGGATTGTCTACAGGTGCTATCCTGCAAATGGTCAAGATCCATAACTGTCCATACACATGCATTCTCTGGTATAATGCTGACTGAGGGATGAACATATA